AATATGTATTATATTGACATTTAAAAATTATATCTAATAAAGTAAAGGTTGAGCTGGCATTTAAAAAAAAAAAAAAAAAATTTTTTTTAATGCTAATATAAATTATTATAAATTTTTCAAAAAATAAAATATTGCTAGTTAATAAACAATATATGAAATTAATGTATTCAAACCAAATATATAAAATAAATTGTTTTTACTTTCTGCTAAAAATTCTTGTCACTACATTTTTAAATAAAGTATATACTGTATATAGTATACTTTTAGTTTCTTATGCTTATTATTAAATTTTTACTTTTAAAAAGTTTGTTCTGATGATACACTAATCACGGATATTTGTGTAAAATTATGAATCGTCTGGATCAGTAATAATGCAAATGCTTCGTCCCGTTGACTGCATATATTGTACATCTTAATTTCTATTAAAATTAAAAAAAATTCAAGCTTGCTTAAAATATTATCTCAGTTTCGAATTCCATCACCGAAATAAAAAATTTTTCTTTTCTTGACGCTACGATATTCATAGAAAATCTATTGCACCTAAACTTTGATTTACCAAAATCAGTTATGGGCAGCATCGTGCTTTCAGTCCTGCAATAGCCTTTTGACTAAGAGTTTCAGGAACAAAGATAATCATCACAATTTGATCCGTATAATTCTGATTTTTATAACCCATAGAACTTTATTTAAATTGCATAAACCGAGATTGACAAAATAAATCATGCTATTTACTTTCACGAATTATAATTTTCGTGCCTTGCTTTCAGTTTCATAAATTAACATACGCCATAATTTCATTACAAAAAGCTCGGACTCTTCGTCTAATGTCTAAAAGTTTTAAGAAACATGTTTAATGAATATCCTAAAGTTAACGACAAAAGTTAAATTAACATACCATTTCCATTTCTTTGGTTAATTGAGCGGCTGACTTATTGTTACGCAAGTGGTCCATTACAAAAGAAACTAATTCATCTTCCTGTACTCCAAGGAATCCTACTATTTTCTTGTTAACAAATGGACGCAATTTTTTATCAAGAATCGTCTAATAAATATTTAAGGATCGCATATAAGAAGGCCATTTAAATGAAATAATTCTCGAGAACAATGTTTGAATTAGGCATACCTCATCTAACTCTTCCCATCTTACATTCCATTTCCACAGACCCTCTTTATCTGAAGGAATAATATTAACCAGATCTTTAATTTTCTTTCTTCTATCCTCGGTTTTCTTCTCATCGTCTTCATTATCACTATATTCTAATGGAACCAATACCCTTCGTTTCTTTTTAGAATCAAGTTCATCGTCTTCGTCATCTTCCTCTTCGGCATGGGCAATTAGTGTGGAACGACGCTTAGAAGAAATATTCAATGTAAGTTTCGCTTTTACATTACTGCTCGAAAAAGATCCATTTGAAAAATGCAGCGATGTATCTTTATCATCATTAATTTCCGCTTCTTTGGCTTCATCGCGCTGTTTTTTCTCTTCTTCAAGCATACGCTCCCACTCTATTTTACGTTGTTCTGCTTCAATCTCTTGTTGTTCACGAAGCCTATCTTGTTCGTCCATTGCCAATTCACGCGCTCGAATTTGTTGTCGATGAAACCACCAACGATTTCTAGATGGAAAATAATTTTATGTTAAAGGAGATTCCAGTAGCAAATCATATCTTGGGATCACGTACCGGTCACGATAATACTCTTCTTGCCCTCGCTCAGCCTCTGCATCATCATCCCATTCAGCTAACTTGCGTGCCATCAACTCT